AACGATTAATGACAAATGTCAAATGTGCACTGTTAGAAGCTTTGTTAAAAGCTGTTAAAGTTTTACATATTAAAATCAGACACATTTCTGAATATAGTCTTTATCAACAACTATCTCAGAACTTTTGGACTGACCCATTACCGAGAGTCAAAGGTGCAGTGGAAGATGCTGATTGCATGTTGCTGATTCCAGCTGAGACTGTACAATGTCACGACGTCTGGCTCTCAGGCTCAGCTAATCACTGACAGGGATAAAGGATCACACATGTGGGTGAAAAGTCAGTCACCTCGTCTGCGTCGTCTGATATGTTATCCTGCTGTATCAACTGCAACGCACGTGTTGCCCCCTGTACACAGTAACCTATGGTAATACTAATGTCGTGACTGCATGCAATTACTCAGTGAAGGACAAAAAATCAGTTATGCATCCGTGCGCTATTTTTCTCCCTGACATCTTAAGTCTTCATTCACTACTTCTGATCGTCTGTCCCTCCCTGCCTCTCTCTCTCTCTCTCCTTCTCTCTCTCTGCGAGGTGTAACAACCACACACTAGAGAAGTGTTTTGTCATGGGTTGACAGCAGTAGCTGAGCTGGGATTCTGACCTCCTAACATCATTGGTCAGCAAACTGGAGGGAGACAGGAACGCACTGCAGTGTTTTTTTTTTCTTTCTGCAGAGAGCAGAGAGAACATGCTACAACATCACTGCTGCTGCACAAACAGCTCTTTTTTTTTGTTTAACGTGTTTTTCCTGCTGCAAATCTCAGGTCTGTTCATTTCCATCAGCTCGTGTTTTGACGCTCATTTCCAGGCTGATGGAAAAGAAAAAGGTACATAAATGAGGTTCTCCTGACAGTTAAAATTATCAGCGATTAGCAGCGATTAGACCAGTACTTCTCAAATAGTGGGGCGGGTCCCCCTGAGGGAATGATAACAAGCCTCCAGTCACTAGGTGGCGGCAACGCAAACAGTGCTTTGTACAGATAGAAATATACATGTTATCAGGTTCTCAATAGTATTGCAATTCCAGGGGTAATGGGTCAGAGGTGGGCGGAGGGCATGACAGGAAATAATAGAGAACTACTGGATTAGACGATAACGTTACGTTATTGTACATTTCACCTAATTTTTCTCAATAATCTCTAATCTGAGTTCACAGTGCTAATGTTAATAATTACCTGTATTTTCTGGACTATAAAAAAAGCATAATGAAGAAGCAAAAAACACATATATAAGTCACTCTGGAGTATAAGTCGCACCTGCCAATAGATGAAAAAAAAATGCAACATACAGGAGTAGCAGATACTGGTACACAAGCCTAGAGTGCCCTCTAGCGGCTGTCAGTGTGAACATAACGAAAGTGTAAATTTTCAGTGGTACAGGAGTAGCCAGATACTGGTACACAAGGCTAGAGTGCCCTCTTGTGGCTGACAGTGTGAAAATAACAAATGGGAAATTATATATTCACACCTTAGTATGAGTCGCAAACCCAATCAAAGGATAATAAAAAAAAGTTAAGACTTTTAGTCTGGAAAATATGATAGATGAAAACAAAGGTTTAGTTGAAACTCCACCTTCCAACATCTGTTCGCCTGCAAATGTGAAAGAGGAGATTTACCTAAGCTGGAAAGATGAAGCACAACTGATGCAGATGATGTTCCACCCCCACCGCACACATCGCCACATGTGCATTCAATCACATGTATCCTTGACAAACGGCAGTCAGTGTCGGGCTGCAGTTAAACCCCCCAGAGTGAGAAGCAGAGCCTACTATACTCTTTACAGTATACTATAAATAGTATACTGTATATTTCACTGCCAATTTACATACACTAAGACCAGACTTAATTGAAAAAGGCTTGTTTCTCAATCGAAAGTAGAGTAAATTAGACACAAATCAACACACACAAAAAAATAAACACCATATAGAAATGCATAGCACAAAACATGTTACTAGTTACAGCTAATGGTCAACCAACATGCTGACTGACTGGGGTCAACCCTGGGGCTGCCTCGGATTTGATTCCCACAGGAATAACAGGCTTGGAGCCTCCAGGGGGCAGCCTGTTGCAACAAATCTGCTGTTAACACAAGAATTTCCCAAGAGAACAATCAATAAAGTTTGAATTATTATTATTATTATTATTATTATTATTATTATTATTATTATATTATTATTACATTTTTTATTTAATTTTTTTATAATATTATTATAATAATATTATAATTATATTATATTTTTTTATAAAATTATTATTAAAATAATTTAAAAAAAAATTTTTATAAAAAAAATAAAAAAATAAAAAATATATTTTTTATATATTATTATAATAATATTTTTATAATATTATTATAATAATATTATAAAAAATTTGTGTCTAATTTACTCTACTTTCGATTAATAATTATAATTATAATTATAATTATAATTATAATTATAATTATAATTATAATTATTAATCGAAAGTAGAGTAAATTAGACACAAATCAACACACACAAAAAAATAAACACCATATAGAAATGCATAGCACAAAACATGTTACTAGTTACAGCTAATGGTCAACCAACATGCTGACTGACTGGGGTCAACCCTGGGGCTGCCTCGGATTTGATTCCCACAGGAATAACAGGCTTGGAGCCTCCAGGGGGCAGCCTGTTGCAACAAATCTGCTGTTAACACAAGAATTTCCCAAGAGAACAATCAATAAAGTTTGAATTATTATTATTATTATTATTATTATTATTATTATTATTATTATATTATTATTACATTTTTTATTTAATTTTTTTATAATATTATTATAATAATATTATAATTATATTATATTTTTTTATAAAATTATTATTAAAATAATTTAAAAAAAAATTTTTATAAAAAAAATAAAAAAATAAAAAATATATTTTTTATATATTATTATAATAATATTTTTATAATATTATTATAATAATATTATAAAAAAATTGTGTCTAATTTACTCTACTTTCGATTAATAATTATAATTATAATTATAATTATAATTATAATTATAATTATAATTATAATTATAATTATAATTATAATTATAATTATAATTATAATTATAATTATAATTATAATTATAATTATAATTATAATTATAATTATAATTATAATTATAATTATAATTATAATTATAATTATAATTATAATTACTATTAAGGTTATAACACTACACTCTGCAGTTGTTTACACTCCCGACAACAAATGTAATGCAACAGACAAATTATTTAATGACATTACATTTATCGCAGCTAAACTTAGGTTACTTAATTAGGTCACAAAGTTGCACAAACTTTGGATGAGACTTTTTTTTTTTTTCAAGTATACCCTACGTCTCGCCTAGGAAGCGCCAGAGAACTTAGTTGGCTCCCCTAGGAAGCGCCAGAGAACTTAGTTGGAGACAAGTAAAATCTAAACTAGCTAACTTACACGAGAAGAAGTATTTTTAGTGCCCTTTATTGTCACTACATGCCACGGGCCACCTCTCAGGGGGAGTCCTTTACCTCCCTCACATTCTGTCACTCCACTGCCATGTCGTTTCACCCGTTAAAAAAATGCACATTCTAACAGGATTGCACTCAGCTGTTCTGTGTCTCTTTGTCTCTGTTTGACCTTCTAGGGCTTCTAACAGTGCACATTTGCCAAATGTTACAACAGATCCCGCCTCCTGTAATACAAAACATTTACTATCTTATCATTTCCCTGTTATCATCACTGCACTTTCTGCTCCATGTACCAATTCCTTTTTGTTGATGTTATTGGTCGTGTTTTTCCACAGAAACTCCCTGCGTGAGCCCAAGTTTCTTCACAGTTTAAAAAAAAAAAAGTAAAAATGTTTGAATATAATATTAAAATGTTATGTTAAAAGATTGTCATATCCTTCCATGGGGTCCAGAATTCCTGGCAGTGCCCCAGACTATACTGCTCACTTCCCTTTTCACAGATAATCAGTAGTTTGGGCATTGGCACAATGCCCAAATCAAATGGTCTGTTGTATACTGAATGTATTCATATGAAGTACACACTGCTTTATATTTAAAATCCTTTAGAAAGAAGTGACGCAGTTGCCTTAAATCCTGCTATCGTTTCATTCACGGAGAGAACTCATGCTGTGATGAAATGTCACAGAAGGTCATGTCTCTTCCTCTCCACTAATCTCCACATCCATCCATCATAGAAATCCATCAGCAATGTGAACAATGCATGGTACAGATTAGGATTTACTTGTATGAGAATTTAAGAGCAAGAAGGAATTTTCGACCATTTACTTGTACATCACAAAGTGTTTCTTGTAGGTTTGTTTGTATTTAAGAGTTATTATTTGTACACCAATGTTAAAGGAGACATATGTTAAACCTTGAATTAAAAGCCAAATTAAAGTGAACCTTCATCCTTAAAAACCAATAAAACGGAACAATTTAGCCTGCAAAATTCATATAATACGGTTGTTTTTCGTTGAGACAGAACAAGTCAGAATTTTTTATACTGTTGACAAGGTCATACATGGTGATTCAGATAGCGGTGTTTTACTGCCCTCTAGTGTTTAAATTTAAAACTCACCTACGTTTTAAAGCCCATGTTTCATACCTATTATATACATACTTGGATAAGAGGTGAAACGTCTTCTTTCAGAAAAGTCAAACTTTTTAAACTTGACCATGACCTGGATGACTGAGAATCTTCATAGACATATTACATACCTGTTACCTTCAATACATACTGTATACAGAGTTATAACGATTTTTTAAGTTTTTATTTTACGTTTCCTGCTGTTTCAGAGAGTTGCGAGGAAACTTTATACGTTTATACGTTTTTACTCTAAAACATTGTAAAATAGTTTCAAATGGGTCTTTGGAATTTTGGAGAGGTTTCACAAGGGGACCGTCAACAAATTTCCTCTCTCCTGAACACAGGTTAATGTGGTAATGTCTTGATAGAAGAAATGGTATTGTGTGACGTATGTTTAGTTATTCTGAGCGGCTTAATAAGCACCTTCAGATCGCATCGCGCTTGTCTGCGGTGTATTACGGTGTAGATCCAGGTTCCATGACTGTTCCTGGTATTTCTTGGCGTTCATACAGTACCCGTGTCAAACTTTAAAGCTATTCTCATCGACACCGATTTCGCGTTTGTTTTGTTTCCACGAGGAAACCATTACGTGGCGAGTGCATTTACTCTAGCAAGACTGCTTATATTCGAAGGAAGCGGTACATTTTTATGTGGAAGTGAAAGCGGACCTGTCATTTCCTTGTTGCCTGCCGTGTCCCGTTTGTTCATGCAATTTGAATTTCACAAGCTGCACAGACACAAACAGTCCTCAAACAGAACAGCGATGTGGTTGCATTTGGTTTGAGACATTTGAAGAGCCACGACGTAACACACTTTCAACAGGTAAATACAATTTAAACGTTACAATACAATAATAATGGTCATATTTAAAAAAAAAGATTATGACAAATGATAATTATAATAATGGTTTATTGTGCTTTTAAAAATATGTAATAATTTATCCCAAATATTTTTAACTATTTTCGTAAAATTGTATTGATACTCGAATTGGGGGCGTGGTAAAGACAAGGACACAATGCAGATAGATCATAGCTGAAAGTGTTGGTGTCAGTCAAAGTCAGTATTCTAAAATTGAAAATATTTGTAATTGTATATATTTCCTTCCATTAGAATAGCACACAGTGTTGTAGGAATTGCAGTATTTTGAACCAAAAAGCTCGAAATATGTCTGAGCGAGGGTGTGGTGTTTATAAATGTCCTAGCGACACAAGGGCAGTTCTGCAGAAAAAGTTGAGGAACAACTCGAATATGCAAAAACTTACATATAAACTACGGGGAACTGTTGTCAGAATGATCTTCTGATTCAAGAAAGCAACATTTTTGCCATACATGAAATCCATGTTCATACTTTGTCTATGCACTCTTTTCATTCCTAAAGACCACTGAATGTTCTTTATATTACAGGTTTGATGTCTGCCTATTGATGACACAGCTGGGGGCTGTGTATAGACCAAAAAAACAAAAAAACAAAAACGTGGATCAACCCCACGACCCCCTTTTTTTAAAGGGCAACAGCACCATCTGCTGTTCCAAACAGTTAATTCTTCCACAGTTTGGACGAGTGTTTTGAAGCAATGCACACCTATCACAGCAATGGTTCCCGTCTGTCAACATGTGTTATCCTCATATGTTATTTACTGATGGGAACACATCACTGTGTGACTCCACCCAAGAAGGACTCCTGCTTGGTGAAGGACGGCAAAGCCGACTGTAGTCACCTCAGGCTCAGTGCGATCCCTGCCAACCTTCCTAGCAACATCAGCAGTCTGGATATGTCTCACAATAGAATGGTGCGGATTCCCCCGGAGTCGCTAAAACAATACCCAGGGCTTCTCCACCTCAACATGGGTTACAACAGCGTTACTAAGCTGAATGAGCCGTTTTGCCTGGTGCTGCCCCTCCTGCAGACACTGAACATGGTTCGCAATGAAGTGCATCTGCTGAAGGAGACCGACCTGAGTAACTGCACCAGTCTCACTTGGTTAAGTTTGGCCAGCAATAGGCTGAAGATTAAAGGAGAACCCTTCTCTGCGTTAAAGGTATGGTTTCCATAACACCAGTGTGTCTTACGTAAGATAAGATGGATGGAGTAATGTCTTAAAAAAATACTGATGAACTACATTATTGTTTGTGTTTTCATTTTAGAGCCTGGAATTCCTCGATATCTCCAATAACAACCTGCAATCAGCCAAGCTTGGCTCCCAGCCTCAGATGCCCAGTCTTTTAAACCTCAACCTTGCGTTCAGCGTGTTCACCACGCTGAAGAAGGACGACTTCACTTTCCTGCGCCTCTCACCGTTTTTGCAAGTTCTAAATCTCTCATCTGTGCCTTTGAAAAGTGTAAGAAACTTAAAACAGGAACCAAAATGAAGCTGCTGAAACTTGAACCAGAAGTGCAGCCATTTGGTATTGTTTTCCATGTTTTGATTCCTCATTTATCTCACCGTACGATGTGTTTGCCTTTTTTCCTGCAGTTGGAGCCTGGTTGTTTTAAACCAATCGCAGGCCTGCATGCTGTCATTATGGATGGAAGCAATATAGGAAGTCCAGTTATATCCCAACTCTGCTCTGAACTGGGGGAGACGTCTGTCCAAAGTTTGTCTCTTCGGAAGATGAAGCTGGTCACACTCAAGAACACAACCCTGTCGGGACTGCAGAAAACCAACCTAACGTTTCTCGACCTGTCTCAAAATGACATGACAAAAGTTGAAGATGGCTCATTTCAGTGGCTGTCGAAACTTGAGATTCTAAAGTTGTCCGATAACAACTTCAAGCACCTGAACAAGTTCACTTTTCGAGGCCTCAAAAGTCTCAAGAAACTCCAACTGACTAAGGCTCTAGTGAAAACACGTTCCACGCCTATTGTTGATGATTTTACTTTTCAACCACTGGGCGCACTGGAGAGTTTAATTTTACAGAGAACTGCCGTATGGGAAATCACTGAGCACACATTCACCGGATTAGTAAGTCTTCAAGAGCTTGATATGAGTTGGAGCAGTTATGCGTCACTCAGGATAATTACCAACAAGACCTTTGTCTCTCTTGCCGGTTCGCCTCTCAGAACCTTAAATTTGACTGGCACAGCCATAACAAGGATCAATCCTGGAAGCTTTTCACATTTGAGAAACCTTACAGTTCTCCTCTTGGATTTTAATTTCATACAGCAAACATTCACTGGCTCCGAGTTCGAAGGCCTAACCCGAGTCGAGGAAATGCACATGAGCAATAACCACTGGAAAGTCAAAGTGAGCTCTACTTCATTCCTTCATGTGCCCAATCTTAGGGTCCTGACATTGGGCAAAAGTCTCAACAACTCAGCAGTGAACCTGGATGTGGATCCCTCTCCGTTCAAACCCTTGACCAACCTCACCTTTCTGGATCTTAGCAACAACAATATTGCAAACTTCAGAGAGAATTTGTTGGAGGGCCTCATAAACCTGGAGGTGCTAAAGCTCCAACACAACAACTTAGCACGCCTGTGGAAGAGTGCTAACCCAGGTGGTCCTGTGCTGTTTCTCAAAGGGGCACAGAACCTAGTGACCTTACAGCTGGACAGTAATGGGCTGGATGAGATACCACGCGGGGCTCTAAGAGGTTTGAGGAACCTGAGTAAACTATACCTGGCAAATAATCTCCTGAACAGTCTGAAAGACTCAATATTTGACGATCTGGTGGCTCTGCAAGTGTTAAGTTTGCAGAAGAACCTGATCACGACCGTGAAGCCCGAAGTATTCAAGGCGCCCACCAGTAATCTCAGTGTACTCTTAATGGATAAAAACCCATTCGACTGCACGTGTGAAAGCATCCAGTGGTTCGTGACGTGGTTGAACGAGACAAATCTGACCGCTGTGCCTGACCTCAGTGACCAGTACATGTGCAACACTCCACTGGCTTATTTTAACCACTCAATCATGACATTTGACACTTACCCCTGCAAAGACATGGTGCCATTTCAGGCTCTTTACATATTCAGCAGCACAGCTGTATTGCTGCTGATGGCAACAGCGTTTTTAGTGCGCTTCCAGGGCTGGAGAATTCAGTTCTATTGGAACATACTGATCAGTCGGACATTGGGGTTCACAAACAGAGATGGCAGCAGGGAATTTCAGTATGACGCCTACATCATCCATGCTGAGGACGACACACACTGGGTGGAGAGGGTAATAGTTCCCTTAGAGAATAATAACTGCAGTTTCTATCTGGAAAGTCGGGACGCCTTACCTGGGATGCCACAACTTCAAAATATTGTTGACAATATGAGGGAATCCCGGAAAATCTTGTTTGTCGTCTCGGAACATCTTCTCAACGATCCTATGTGTAGAAGGTAAGTCAGAACACATGGCAGAGTTGAGTAAAACATGTCAAAATCAAACAACTTCATGCCATCTGTGGAAGTTTTTTTAATGGTTTCTTACTGCCTCTTTTTCTCTTCCCATCCAGATTTACAGCCCATCATGCACTATTGAGTAAAACATGTCAAAATTAAACAACTTCATGCCATCTGTGGAATTTTTTTTTATGGTTACTTACTTACTGCCTCTTTTTCTCTTCTCATCCAGATTTACAGCCCATCATGCACTTCACCAGGTCATCGAAGAGAGCAGAGACTCTGTGGTTCTGGTGTTCCTGCAGGATGTGCACGACTTTAAGTTATCCAGCTCGCTCTTCCTCCGCAGGGGGATGTTGCGCTCGCGCTGTATCCTGGAGTGGCCCGGACATAAGGAGCGACTTCAAGCATTTCATCAGAAGCTTCTCATAGCACTCGGCCTGACTAATCAATTCAGGATGTGACAGTGTTTCACAGATAATTACAAAAACGTCAAGTCATGATCAATTACAACAGTTTTTTTCATGTCCTATTACTTAATTTTTTTTATTCCATTTACACATGTTCATTATCTCATTTGGTGGAATTTGTCTTTGCGCTCATTAAATGTCAATGGTAATGATGTCTGATTACAACTAATGGTTGTGTAAGATGCGACAACCCTTGTACAGGATGTGCTTTAGAACCTATACCCCAGTTGGCAGTGGTGTAGTTGTTATATAAACATTACAATGTGGAACATTGGCAGTCTGCACAAATGGTTGTATGTAATTTTTACCTCCTACTGATTCCTCTACTTGGGTAAACATGTCCTTCAAAGCGAAATAGAAGAGGTATAGAACTAGCTCACTGCAAAGTCAGGAAGAGACTTATCAAGAAATCCTCACTTTTCATACGGCTTCAAAAAGAGAGAAGATCTTCATAGCTAATGAAAGATCATTTTACCAAATATATCATAGATAACGAATAATAAACAACATTTCTTTAGTTAAGTGTTTGTACAAATACAAAAAGCTTTAAGTCAAAGGTATTTTTTTTTCAGTCTGAATGCCACAGTTGTGCCTCTTCCACTCTGATTAACACAGTGCTCTCCTTTAATCTAACATAGTGCGCCCCTCGTGGATGATTTAGGAATAGCATATTATGAAGAATTTTTTTTTTTTTTTTTTACATTTTTAAAATTCATCATGCCGGCCAGATTTTGTTTGACATAAGACTGCATAAGACATTAAAAAAAAAAAAAAAAAAACCAAAAAAAAAACACCTGTTCAAAAAAAAAACACATGATAAAATTATACTTGACACTGAAGTGTCCTTATAAGAACCTTTTTTGTTGGTGTCCATTTGTGCAAAGATCATATTGAATGATCAAGATAAATAACAGTTGTAAATGTACACATCACCTTTGGCCTTAATTATCCTTATTAAAGTAATAGGAATACATTTTGAAAATTGACCGCCACCATAAAATGTAGTACTTAGATAAATCTGCTATTCATTAACCTGTCGTGGAAAAAAAAAACACATGTATATCATGAATTAGGGTAAAGGCCTTGAGAGCTGCCCAACTATATGGTAAATAATTAACACTTTGTGTTATATTTTTTCAGATGGTCTTAACGTTTCACACTGTTTACTGTTAATGTGGCGGGTGGTTTCCTCATACGACCTTCTGAGTTTAGTGGGCCAGAAAGGAGGAGGAGCAGGAGGCTGGACCCTTGTCAGTTTTGGTATTTAGTGAAGTGCAGAGACTCACCGTTTACACACACACACACACACACACACGTACATTAACCATTTGTGGAGTGTGTACGAAGTGTCAGACAGGAGATGGCGGTTCTGGTCGGTACGCCCTCGGTCACTCTGATCTGCGTCAGCGTCTTCGTCGCCGTGCTCACGTACATCACCTACAAGCTGCTCAGCGGTTACCTGTACAAATGGTTCACGCTGAAGAAAGTCCCAGGGATGGAGGGTACTTATCCCTTCGTTGGAAACGCGCTGAGTCTGAAAACCAGTTCAGGAGGTAAGAACACATTTGAACATTTTTGCAGTCCATGAGCAAAATAAAGTTATACAACTGAGCGGCGTGGGACATTGAACCTCTCATTTTACTGTATGTTTATATGACGGGCCCGCAATTTATCCGATAGTTTAAAAAGTGCAAATGTAAACATACATCTTTAAGCGATTTTTTTTACCATGTTTTTATGTTTATGCATGTTTTATGTCAATTGTTGTTTCATTCGACGTGACGTATGCATTGAGCGTCTCTTTCTTGGCTTACTTACTGTATTATATAACATAAGTGGGCCTCTAAGGGGGCAGTCGAGTGGAGCTGCTGTTTACAATGAAATTCTTGCCGGGTCCAAGTGTTAACTCGCGATTATGTGAAACGTAATGACTCACAAAATGCACGTAAATATCAGCCATTTACATTGCAATTGTAATTCTCCAGCCCAATTCCAACGTTTTAACATACGGCCGGTTAGGTGAACAAGTTCCACGCCATCTGCCAGCGTTGAGTCCAAAATACCTTAGAACAGTGGTTCTCAACAACTGCGTTACACGTACCACCAGTGGTACACGGGCGCTCTCTAGTGGTACGTGGGGAAAATTCACATTTTCACGTTTACATTTTCAATTGAATACATTTGAAATATACCATGCCCAATTAATACAACATTTAAACATGAACATCTTTATAAACATTTATAAACATCTCTCTCTATGCTGCTATATTCTAATGTTGGTCATCATGGTGGTACTCAGAGAGCTCAATGTTTTCTTAGGTGGTACAGAGTATAAAGAGTTTGAGAACCACTGCCTTAGAAAAACCAACAAATTAAAGAAAACAAAACGAATGTATAAAATACAAAGATGCGTCTTGGTTTGAAGTTTAAATCGTTGCTCGAAATCCGCAGAAGGTAACTTAGTACATCATTCTAAATATTTTCAGAATAAATTAACAAATAAAAAATTGAAATAACGGCCAAAATGTCGTTATAAGATATACGATTATAAAAAACAAAACAAACTCAATATAAGTTATGTATTAAAAGGAAATTAATATAATATAAGTTATGTATTAAAAGGAAATTAAAATAAAAAAGTAAATACTTTATATTAGATTTTCTTCCTAATAAAAAATGGGAAATGCAAATTGTGTCATTGAATTTATATATATATATATTTATTTTATTTAAGGTTTATAAAGTAATGAAAAATGTATATTTTTTTTCTTCATGTAAAACATTTTGAATGTTTAATTGGTCCGTTATGTGGCAGAAATTTTAAAAAATGATAAAAATTAAATTTTTTAAAAAATATAGTTAGGGACAAAAATTGAGCCCAAAAAAAGATAGAAGGTTAAAGAAATGGCTAAATGCTACTCAAATGTGTACAAAATGGAACAGATGAATGATTAATGGTAGTGAGAAAATCATTTCTTAAAAATTTGGTTTTAAAAACAAGTCACTTTTGCATTGATTTTGGTGTAGGTTCTCACGTGTAAATACGGTATGCTTTTGTTTTTGTTTTGTTGTTTGGTTTTTTTTTTCCAGCTTTCTTCCGTCAAATTGAAGAACTCTGTCAGAAGTTCTATGGTGAACCGCTTTTCAAGATGTGGATTGGACCTGTGCCATTTGTGATTCTGTGTCACTCTGAAACCGTTGAGGTAAGTGTAGGAAGTAGCAGTAATAACTTTCCCATTGCTACTGCTAATAATATAGTACAACATTCAGCATAATCTCTAATTAACAATTTAAAATATAACTTTCTCTTAAACTTTCCTCTTCTAAATGATCTTTCTGAAGGTGATTCTGAACAACTCCGTTCACATGGACAAAGCGATGGTCTACAATTTCCTTCACCCTTGGCTTGGAACTGGTCTCCTTACCAGGTGTGTATCTTGGGTTTTGCTGCATTTGAATACATTTATTCAATGACAGTGATATGAAGGTCATAAAAAAATTTAAATAAAAAAAAACTTTCTCTCCATCAGCACCGGGGAGAAATGGCGTCAGCGGAGGAAAATGTTGACACCCACCTTTCACTTCTCCATCCTGACGGACTTTTTGGAGGTGATGAATGAGCAGACGGCCGTCCTATTGGAGAAGCTGGACAAGAAGGCAGGGACAGGGCCGTACAACTGCTTCAGTGATGTCACTCTCTGCGCTTTGGACATCATCTGTGGTGAGTCTGTGGACACTGAGAGCACCAGTGAAAGGATGTCCAACAATATAGGTTGACCGATATTATCATCCCTATATTGGCATAATTACAGACTATAAGTGTATAAGTCGCACCAGTGCCCTCTAGTGGCTGTCAGTGAGAAAATAATGAACATGTAAACTTTCAGTGGTACAGGAGAAGCAGATACTGGTACATAAGCCTAGAGTGCCCTCTAGCGGCTGTTGAAGTGTGAAAATAAACATGTGAAATTATATATTTTAATACAGTATATAAGTCGCACCTGAGTATAAGTCGCAAACCCAGCCAAAGGATGAAAAAAGGAGTGACCTATTGTCCGGAAAATACGACATGTAATATCTGTAAGAATTGTTTTCCTCTGATAACGCAATGCCTGGCTCTTAAAAATAGTTTAAAGCCCTGGCAACTGACCAGTCAAGTGCTTTAAAGGGTCATCCCCTACACCAGTGTTATTCCATGCATTAGTTTGTTTCCTGTGCATAAAATAATCTCTAAGGGAAACCCCTGTTTTTAAAGAAACTGCCATGGGAAAGTCAATCAACGCCCAGAAGGACTCTCATTCAAAATATGTTGAATGTGTGTACAGGTGAGTGTGATAACTATTTTATTTATACTCCAATTAAAGACATTAATGACTAATTACACATTTCATATTTTTACCTTTTTTTTTTCCCCTCTCCATTATTTACAGAATGAGTGACATTGTCACCCAAAGACAGAGAAAGCCCTGGTTCTGGCCTGACACTCTCTACCATCTTTTTGGTGATGGTCGAATTCATGACGAGACCTTAAAGGTTCTTCATGACTTCACATTCAAGGTCAGCGTTTTTAAATTAGACGAAAAAAAAAAAAAAAACAACACACCCTTACTAACATACCGAAAATTGAACTCCACCTTAAAATGTGTTCCTTGACAGGTGATCCGTGAAAGAGAAGAAGAAATATCCTCCATGGAATCCAGTGAAGACACAAACCAGGAGGGCAAGAAGAGACAGGCGTTGTTGGACATGCTCCTGAAGACGAAGGACGAACATGGAAATAAGATGAGCCATAAGGACATTCAAGAGGAAGTGGACACCTTCATGTTCGAGGTAAGTACTTCATGTGTCTGAATAGTCTCCTTGTTCGAATAGCAGTTCAACATATTGAAAAAAAAAAAGAGACATTTGGACATTTGTGGTCCCTGCCTGTGTCTCAATGAAAAAAAAAAAAGAGACATTTGGACATTTGTGGTTCCTGCCTGTGTCTCCATGAAAAAAACAAAACTGCTGCACATTTTAAAATTACTTGCACAATTAACTTATAATTAATGCTTGATTATCAAACGGCGGCACGTTAAGACGGCTCTGTGGTGATATTTTGCTCATCTTCTGTGTCCGTGATTTATTGTCTCTTTGACTCCGTTTTCTCAGGGTCATGACACAACAGCTGCAGCCATGAACTGGGCTCTTCATCTGCTGGGCTCTCGCCCTGAGGAACTCCGCAAAGTTCAGGAGGAACTGCAGGAAGTGTTCGGTAACCGAAACTACACACTTTCATTTGTGCGACCTTCTCTTTTTGCCTGGTGTTTTCGAAATAAGAGAAGGGAGAGGTTTTAATTTTTTTCTTTTTTTTTTTTTTTAGAACTAGTAGCTGTGATGATGTAGAAAAATGAATTCACTCATGTAATAATAGTCTGTTTACTCTGAAAAATATCACAGCCCCTGGTTGAAAGAAAAAAAAAAGTCATAAAGCAAAATAATGTGGACTATAATTAAAAAAAAAAAACAAAACAGAAAATTGATATCATGCCACATAAGTTAATCATATAATGTACTACACTCCCATATGCACTATATTACCAAAAATATTCGCTCACCTGCCTTGACTCCTACTATGAACTGAAGTGCCATCCCATTCCTAACCCAGAGTTCAATATGATGTCGGTCCACCTTTTGCAGCTACTGCAGCTTTTTTGGAATTGTCCAAAATGTTTTGGTATCCTGAAGCATTCAAAGTTCCTTTCACTGAAACTAAGGGACCAAGCCCCTGCGCCAGTGCACAAAGCAAGGTCCATAAAGACATGGATGACAGAGTCTGGTGTGGATGAACTCGACTGACCTGCACAGAGTCCTGACCTGAACCCGATAGAACACCTTTGGGATGAATTAGAGCGGAGACTGAGAGCCCGGGCCTTCTCCACCAACATCAGTGTGTGACCTCACCAATGCGCTTTTGGAAGAATGGTCAGAAAATTCCTATAAACACTCTCCTCAACCTTGTGGACAGTCTTCCCAGAAGAGTTGAAGCTGTAATAGCTGCAAAAGGTGGACCGACATCATATTGAACTCTGGGTTAGGAATGGGATGGCACTTCAGTTCATAGTAGGAGTCAAGGCAGGTGAGCGAATATTTTTGGTAATATAGTGTATATTACATTGTTGCTAACCCTGTCTATGTGTGACTAATAACAGTCAACAAAATAAACCATGATCCGTGACTTTGACACAGCCTTTCAACCGACAACATAGCTCTCCGCTGATTGGCAGGAGATATAGTAGTAGCATTGGCATCGGGGCCTTTTTACCCACATCTGTTATCACATAAAGCAAAACAAACACATAGCGTGTGTGCGGTTCTTTTATCTACACCAAGGGTCGGAAAACAAGTAGGGAAGAGGTGAGCAGAGGGAGGCTGGCGCTGGAACACGATCTTTCCTCCTGTTATCGGTAGGTGACAGACCTTTCCTTGTAAATGTTCCAAGGTTCATCGGACCGCCCCGTAAACACGGACGACCTGAAGAAACTGAAGTACCTGGAGTGTGTGATCAAGGAGGCTCTGCGCCTCTTCCCCTCCGTGCCTTTCTTCGCACGCACCATCTGCGAGGACTGTCATATCAGTGAGTTATCGGCGAATGCTCTTCCGTTTATCGTACGCTCACTGTTGAGATCTATTTATAATATATCGTAATTTTAAAGGCAATATCATTCAAATATACATTATGTGATTAAAAAATATAAATACATTTTTATAATTAGGATGTTTTTCTTTATTTGATTGACAGTTTGAATGTATGGTTGTGGCATGGTGTTAGTTACTTCAATTCTTTTCTTTAAATCCGAACAAAACACCAACAGAGCACCTCGCCAAAAATTGTTCTTAAGATCTTTTTCTCTTTCTCCCCCCCCCAGAGGGTTTTAAGATTCCCAAAGGCGCCAATGCCATCATTGTCACATATGCGCTTCACCGAGACCCACGATATTTCCCTGAGCCTGAGGAGTTCCGGCCTGAACGGTTCTTACCGGAGAATTCCGTAGGCAGGCCTCCCTACGCCTACATCCCCTTCTCTGCTGGACTCCGCAACTGCATTGGTGAGAACCGGCTGCCTTTTTCAACATCCTGGTTGATCTCTGCTGTGATTGGCTGGCGATAGAATTGTGAATGTGCTCCACAGGTCAGCGGTTTGCCCTGATGGAAGAAAAAGTGGTTCTATCCTCCATTCTGCGGAAGTTTACCATCCAGTCGCTGCAGACGCGAGAGGAGCTGCAACCCATAGGAGAGCTCATCCTCAGACCAGAGAAAGGCATCTTGATCAAACTGGAGAGGAGGGAGACTTCCTGAAAGCAACTCCCGCGCACAGATGTCTAACCCCTGAGATGAGATGTTCTTTAAAGGTCTTCATTTTACTCAGTTTCACCTTTCTTTTTGAAGGTGATTTTGTTTTTTTTTTACTTTTTATGGCTAAGCAGGGTTTTCTTCTTTTTGAAAGTGGGCACACCTTAACCCAAAACCAAACTTTTTTTACGGCTTGCGTTACTATGAAAGTAAAAAATATGATATGTACTAGTGAGCATAAACTGGGTTAGTTGGTCAGCTTCATTAAATATTGCAGTCTGTCCTTACCAAAAATCCAAAAACCCAGTTTTTCCGGAAAAACAGCACCCTCCTGTGTTGAACATTAGAACTGTACACCTTTACATTTGGGTCCATCTCTAAAAAACAAAACAAAAACAAACATAAACTTCAAGGTCTCCAATTTGACAAAACCTTAAGTGGATTAAAAAAATAAATTGTCGTTTTTTTATATAAAAAGTTTAGTTTATTTAGTTATCAGACAGTCTAGAAGAAAAGTTTTGAAAAGGAAGATGCAGACCGGAAGTATAGGTTAAACGCTCTGTGATTGGTTTGATGTGGGACTTTGAAAGTTAGCTGGTAATTTGGTTTGTAGAGCAGATAATCTCATTACGAAGTAATAATTATAAACTTTCTGAGAAAAGGTGCCCATACGTTGCGAAAACGCCCCCGGTGGTCATGTTTGATCACTGCATAAAATGATCGACGGCAGAACACTTCAGAAAAAAAAGGGAAACTTCACACTTTAATTTTGTAATTTTATACTTTCATAAACAATGTTCTCAGCACTTCATATATTTTTTTAATTTTACATATTCATGTATGTGGATGCATCATCAAACTTAACACGTAGCCTTATTAACCTGTACTCCCCTATGGCTGTAGTATTCTTTCACTGACAATGCAGTTGTATGACTATATGTACACAGGCACAGAATAAACCTTCGTACTCGGTGTAAGTACACAAAACTGTTTTCCTGTGTGCGTTTGTAGCATTTCAAACAAATCAATATGCCATGTTTAATACATGTTGTCAGTGCTACAGAAATGCATTCCATACACACGGCATAGATAAATGTATGCCAAATAATTACATTACATGACATTATTTATAAGGGCCTCCAAATTGAAATAAAAGTGGTCTTTTTAAATAACAGAAACTAATTTATGTGTCATGGAAGTCTCAAAAAGATGAATTTAATTGTCATGATAATTATAAGTATTATTGTTTTTAATATTTAAAGCAAGTCTTGATTGTGTATAAAAGAAAAAAAAGAGTCATATAGATACATTTTCTTTCATATAATAATTTATTGTACGTTTTTATAGAAATATAGATTAATAATAATAAAATTAAATTTAGCAACCCCACAGAGAAAACCAAATTAACCTAAGCCTAAATAAAGAAATTTGTTTTTTTTTACATGGTGCAATTAAAAGAGAAGACCAGGGGGTGGTAGTATTGTGCATGTTTCAGAATGTGTGAGAGACTATAAATGGTACCCTGAAATTTATTTCCAGTTAAGCGTGTGTGTTTTATATGTGTAAAAAGTATTCAAAAAAAAAAAAAACAAAAACAAAAAACAAAAAAAAAAGGAACTACTGGGGTTTTGCTTTACATTTGCAGTCCGGGACGAAATAAAGACATGTGTTACGAAATCCAACTTCTTCATAAATAGACCAAACAATAGAGAAAAAGTAAACAAAGAAACAAATCCGATTTTCTTCTAAAGGGCCTAAAACGTTATTTGATTTTCAAACAAATGGAAAAACTAGCGTTTGACACTCCCGTTGTCCTTCGCATTTTGTACACAATCAGCGTCCTCGCAACGGGTTTGCAATCTTGTCCCAGAATCAGAGTATGAGGAAAATGTTCATAAGCCTTGCAGTACACACAGAAGCATATCATTGGCCACCGTGTCACCTAGACCCAAAGGACAACACGTTAAAGTCCCATTCTTCATTGTATGTTTAGTGACATTTTTCCACAGGTGACGGAGCTGTTCCACGAAAGCTGCAGACACCTTGTGGACATTGGGTGATGATGCACCTGAACAACAAGCTTGTTGGAATGCACATGTCACATATGGCGCCCCCAGTGGCAGCCTGGGTCAGATGCAAAGACTGTACATTTCACCATTGTGGGACCAATAAGGGTGTCAATTGTCTATTTAAATCACCAACAACCCTTAAATTATTATATCCTTGTGTCCTCATTCACATGATCGCAGCTTCTTTTTATAGTCGCAAATGAAAAAAAAAAACTAAAATTGAGTGTAAAAACATAAATCCTTATTTTGGCTGCATTAACAAAATTCCCTCAGAAAGATATTACTAGTCCCTCGCTTTTTCGCTGTTAATCTTTTGCGGATTCACGACTTTGCGTGTTTTTGAAACTGTATATATAAAATATACTGTATCCCAGATTTGGATCTGCAAGAGATGTCACAGGAATGAGACGACGATATGGTTCGATCGATCCAGTTTTGCAACAAAATCGACGACGTCATGACTGCCTACAAGCTACCCTTCGACTGGAAGAAGAAGCAGCGGAAGCAACTGCCGATCACGATGTTTTTGCAGCCTCGCAAAAAAGCGTCAGTTCCTGCTACTACTACGGATACACCTTCGGAAACCGTGGAAGAGGTGCCCCAAGAAATGGCACCACCCTCTGGAGAGACGTAAAAAATCAATCATTGGCTGAGCAGTAAAAGTCATCATCACCTTCCTCATCGTCATTTTACTTCGCATAGATATGGTGTCACCACTTCGCGGAAATTCAGTTCTCGCGGCAGGCCTTGGAACCTATCTACCGCGATAAACGAGGGACCACTGTATACCACTTCAGGTGGTGAAAATGTTCCAATCCCGTGGGCATCTAGCAGCATGTCTGTAAGCTCTCAGTCATCCAGGTCATTTTATCTGAAGGAGAGGTGAAAGGTAACTAGACTGTCTTGGTTTCTTCAAGATGTCTCACCTCTCCATCTAAGAGTCTTCCTCAGTTTTGACTGACTACTGGAAAATTCTAAATATTTAACCTCAGAGTGGCGTGGTAGTAGAGTAAGGAAGGTGACCCCCAACCCATTCCAAAGTATGGGGGTGTGGTTAGAGGTGGCTAGTTGCTATCACCATGAGGATGCAATGTGGATAAAATGACCTGGACGACTGAGAACCTACAGTACATAGACGTGAAAAGAGAGTCATAATAGCTAAACAAAGGAAGTGACAGTCCAGGAGCCTTTTAGTTAAATAGGTCTGTGTCCATGGCAACCAAAAAGTTCATAAAAGGTGTTCTTACAGTAGCCACCCAAGACACAATACCCTGCACTAGACGGTTCTAGAGGAACCACATGCTTGGCGCCTTGCCAGAGGCAGCCTGCTGTTAACACAAGAATTTCCCAAATGTAGGATCAATAAAAAGTTTTCATCCATCCATCCATCTACTTTCATCCGCTTATCCTTTACCGGGTCACGAGGGCATCCACCCAAATCACACTGCACCGCACAAGCCCCTTGTGAACCTTCCTGCGGGTGGTGAGTCCACTGGAAGGTGCCAACCGCCCGAACCCGGGATTCGATCTTGCCCAGGAGGTGAACCCTGGGGTTCCACACCAATGACAGAGACATTGCCTCTGGGCCAAAGCGTAACTCTATTTGTTTTATTTAGCGGTTATTTATCCACATATCCATATGTTTCCCCTGGTTCAACATTGGGTATCTCTCCACCGAATCGTTTCTCTAAGACATATACAAAGCATTCTAGAGACTTCTGTGAGGAACAGATCGATTAATGGTGGTGCAAAATCAATGTCTGATAAGAAGTTTTTACTGTAGCCCTGCGCAATGCGCCCCCCCCCCCCCCCCCCCCCCCCCCCCCT